AACTGATAAATGATCAAAGGATATGAAAAGACAGTTTTCAGATGAAAAAATCAGATCCATCTATAGGCATATGAAGAAGTGCTCTAAATCACTTTTGATCATAGAAATGCAAATTAAAACAACTCTGAGGTACCTCCTCACACCTATCAAATTGGCTAATATGATAAAAAAGGATGTAGGAAAATTGAGACACTAATGCACTGTTGGTGGAGTTGTGAACTGATCCAACCATTCTGGAGAGTAATTTGGAACTGTGCCCAAAGGGCAAACAAACTGTGCATACCCTTTGATCCAGCAATACCACTCACTAGGTCTGTATCCCAAAGAGATCATAAAAAAGGGAAAAAGACTTACATGTGCCAAAATATTTATAGTAGCCCTTTTCATGGTGGCAAAATATTTGAAATTGAGGGGATTCCTATCAGTTGGGGTATGGCTGAACAAGCTTCAGTATATGAATGTAATGGAATACTATTGTGCAATAAGAAATGATGAACAGGCAGATTTCAGAAAAACATGGAAAGACTTGTCTGAACTGATGCAAAGTGAAATGAGCAGAGCCAGGAAAGCGTACATAATATCAGCAACCGTGTGTGATGATCAGCTATGAATGACTCAGCTCTTCTCAGCAGCAGTGTGACCCAAGACAAGTATAAGAGTCTGGATGGTCCTGGGCGCCTCTCCTCTGGGAAGCTTATCAATATCCTTCTTAAACTCCCCAAACTGAGCACAATACTCCAGATGAGGTCTGATGATGGCAAGGTACAGGGAGACTATCACCTCCTTATTCCTGGGAGCTATGACTTTCTTAACATAGCCCTAGACTGCATTAATAATAATTGGAGGGTTTTTTGGCTCCGACATTATACTGCCAACTCATTGAACTTTCAGTCCGCCAAAACCTTCCGCTGTCTGTCAGAACAAGTGCATTTCCTCCTCACTCCCCTCCCCATCCCCAGTTTTGTACTTGTAGATTTTTTTGTATCCAAATACGAAGTTTTATATTTATCTCTCTATTTTTATTCTATTCAATTCAGTCTAATGTTCTCTAGCCTAGGGGATCAGCATATTCTGGCTGGTGGTTAACCTGTTTTTGTAAAGTCCATGAACTAAGAATGTTATTTACATTTTTAAATACAATTAAACTTTATTTTAAAATGTAAAAGCTATTCTTAGCTTGTGGATGAAAACAGGAGTTTGCCTGACCCCTGCTTTAGCCTGTCAAGACTCTTTTATGTCCTGACCGTCATCTGCTGTGTTAGCCTGTGTTAGCTGTCCCTTCCAGACTTGTGTTTTTCGACAGATTTGATTAGAGTACCATCTATGCCTTTACTTATGTCACCGATGAACAGCATAGGGCCAAACCCTGATCCCTGGGGAACTCTGCTGCAGATCTTCTGCCATGTCGACATTGAACCATTAATGGCTACTCTTTGAGTCTGGTCATCCACCCAGCTCTGAATTCGTGTAATTGTATTGTCATCTACCCTGCCTTTGCCCATTTTCTCCACGGGAATAACATGAGATACTTTATCAAAAGCTTTCCTGAAATCTAGGGAGACTGTAGCCACAGCATTCCCTTCATCTATTGTCACTGGCACCTGTGTCCCTGACAGTGTTTATTTTCTGGCGATCCGTTTGCTGTCTTTTTTCAAACAGCGGGAGTCGTCTGCTTTCCGGTGACCCGTTTCCCGTCTTGTTTCAGATGGGTGGAATGCTCCTTGTTATGGCTGTTGGCCAGACAGCCCACCGTGGTCAAGGGCTACTCACCAGGGGAAACCATTCTTTCAGGCTCCCATGTCCCGGCCCCACATTGGGCGCCAAATGTCGCAGGCACCTGTGTGCCTGACAGTGTTTATTTTCCGGCGAGTATGAGACCGGCGAGTATGAGAGAGATAAAGAGATACATGGGCCAGGTGGGTAACAGGTCCAGAACCAGTTCCGTTTTTGATCTGAGGGCTAGGGTTTTTATACCCCATTCGTGGGAATAGAACCCAGAGTGGAAAAAGCCAAGTATCAACAATAATTCTTCTCAAGTTAAACAGTAACTGGGGGGAGTACCCCCCCGAAGTTGTCTCCTTGCTTCCCAGTTATCTTTCAAGGTTTGAAGTTGGTAAAAAGGAGTATGTAATTGTGTATTAATAGTAATTTTAACTTTGCTGTCTCTATATTTTGAGAGACATAAATAGATTATTTGCTAGTAGAAACAATATTAATAGGCTCAGCAAAATCCTGTTAGATGTTTGTATTTAATGCATTGGTGAATGCAGTGGGTGTTGAAGGAATGAGGTTAAATTTAACAATTTTTTTTAAATACCCATGAATAATTAGTGAAAAAGGGTTAGTATTTTGAAAGATGGTAAGTGATTATCAATATCAATAGAACCAGAAAAAATAGTAATAGGAATTTGACACTGGAGTGAATAGCACCTTGCACTTCTTTATATAAAGAAATACGGGTGAGATGAGTTTTAGGAATTTTTCTTTATGACTAATTAAAGCTCATGTTTTGTTTCAGGAGTTAATGTCCTAAGGGAATTTAGATTAGGATCTTCTCTAAATGTAAAAAAGAAATTACGCAAATGTTCTGTAGCAATTTGGAGTGGTGGTCGGAGCCAATTAATATCCTCTAGAAGTTTTTGAAAATCACTAAAATTAAATGCTGTTAAAAAAAATTTCAGAGTGTGTATAACAACTCACAGTTCAAATGCAGAGTATGAAAATTTGGGGAAAGTGCAGAAGGAGCCAATCTACAGTGATGAGTCGCCTTCCCACATGGGGTCAAGTGAAAGCTCCCTCTCATCGAGTGATAAAAGACTCCTGAACTTGTATTCTTAGCAATAGTAGCTTTACTTTCTGCTCAAGTGTGTAATGTACAGTATCCTCAGTACCAGACTTATTTTTTCCTCTTCCACCCTGGTTGCAACCCCTCATAAATATGGACAAATTGGAACTATATATATACTAATAACACCTGTATATTCAGAAGACAAGAAGATCCCTATCTCCAGGACAAAGTCAGATCTCTAGCATCCAGCACACCTATATGTTTTTCAAAAATTTAGGAACAATATTGAATCATGTCTGTTCCTTGTTACATCATTTATTAATACCAGCTTGTCTATTGGATATGTAAATTTTATTCAATCTAATACTGTTTTTGAATTGGAATGTTACTTGTGTCAATTGTACTCTCAAACAATGTATTGATCATAACGACTATATTGTACTTTTGGTAAAACAATAATCGTTTGTTATTTTCCCTATTAATATTCCACACGAATAGTTCCAGAATTCTGGTAAACGTGCTCTTGAAATTATTATTTCCTCCTTAAGTCATTCAAAACAATTTATTGGTCTCCTTATTATTGGTTTAATCATTGTTGCTTCTTTTATTGTATCTACTACTGTTTTATCTATTGTGCTACAATCTGAAATTTAAACTGCATAATTTGTATGTCGCTTAGCAATGTTTAGTACTTAAAGCATAAGAAGCTATTGATATATTGTATAAAGTCAATTTATTAGAGCAATCAGCATTGTATTTAGAAGATAAGTTAGAAGCTTTGAAAACAAGGTTGCTATTGCAATGTGATTATAGATATTCATATATTTACATTACCAAGCTATCCTATGATGCTTCAGATCCTAATACCACATGAGAGAAGAGACATACCCGCCTATTGAGGGCATGGCACAATTCTAATATTACCCTCAATATTAATACCCTTCATGATATTACTGCCAATTTTTAACTGCTCAGTATGCTAACAATTGGTCTACGATTTTACAATATCAAATTTAAATAGATACTATGGTGCAACGAGAATTGGATCTTTTAGAACAATCGGTAATTGCATTAGGTAAACATACACCATACTTAGACACGCGTTTCAATTTGAAATGTGATTATGGCTATTCATTTATCTGTGTAACCCCATATGTGTATTCAGATTTCACTAATGCTAATGTAACTATTGAACAAATATTAAAGAAGTACTCTGATGATATCACTTGGGATATTAACCAGCTATCCAAAATACAACATGAAATTGCTGATTCTCATATTTATGGTATTGATCCTCAAGATATTGCAAACAAATCCTTTTACGAATGCATTTTTTACCTTGGCTATGTTTTGTATTAATTTTGTGTTTCCTCCTTTCCTGCTTATTAAAATACACTTGCCATACTTTAGGTGAGATTTTTCCATCCCTTCAATCTATCAGTTTAGCAATTCTGTCAACAACAAAAAATTAGGAGTCTAGCATAGCCTGTTCTTGGTGAAACCATGTTCTTTGAAGTTACCAATTTTCTTTTCACCAACCATCTCTCTTAATAATCCTTTTTAGAATTTCCCCAGAACAAACACATAATCATACTTAAACTGTTCAGCTGCGTGTTTGGTGAGACTCTGCAGAAATGTTAAGCCCAAAATATCTTAAATTGGATCTCTTTAGAATATTGTTTCTTATTCTGGGACCCATGAAATTGTGTTTTAAAAAATATTTTGATTAGTATCTTTTAATTCAGTTCAATTAATTAAATTGAATTAAACCAATTAGTTTTCTTAGCCATCCTATGCATTTTATTTTATGCATTTAAAAACATCATTCTGAGAGAGGGTTCATAGCTTCACTAGACAGCCAAAGTGATCTATAACACAAAAAATATTAAGAATCCCTTGTTTAGAGACTGCTCTAGAGCTAACGATACCAGCCACTGCTAAGTTTCTGTATTTTCTTTTTGGATACAGGTTGAGTTTTAGGTGTTAGTTATAACGGTCTAGCACACTGTACATAGGAGGTACTTAATAAATGGTCATTGATCAACTCTTTAATTATATAGTATGTTTTGCCGTTTCATTAACAGCTCCAATTTCTACTTCTCTGCTTGTGTCTGCCATTCATATTGGCCTCTGAGGAATCATAACTTGTTATTCTTCAGTATATTGCAGCGTCTATAAAATATGGTTACTTAAGGTTTGTTTGTCTTTTCAGAATGAGTATCATGCTTGTAAGCCCAAGAAGACCAACAATTGAGAAAATGGCTTCTCGAAGATTTTCCCCTCAGCACATAGCTAAAAGACGAATGGTAATGAGCATGCCAAATCTACAAGACATAAAAATACCTGAATTACCCCCAAGGAATTCGTCACTTCGGAAACTAGAAACTGTGAATAGTTGTAAAGGCAATAATACAGGTGATAAAGTGATTTATCTGTGTCATTTCTTTCCCCAAACTGTGATGGATACTGCTAAAACTTTTTATAATTCAGAAATGCAATCCTAGACTTTATAGATAAATATTTTTAAAATATCCTAATTGAATGACAAGATGGTTGCTTATGTGAAATAGCTGAATTTGTAAAAGTAATTTCGCTCGTAATGTCAATTTGAAGTATCCAAAAAGCCCTTGGAATATAAATTACGATAAAATATAAATTGACAATATGACACTTGACACATTTTGTTTATCTCTAAGCTTCAGCAAATCATGTACCAGTGTAGCATCAGCTGTTTGTAAACTGGCCTGAGGGCCAACTATATCCTGTTGTTCTGCAAACACCAGCTTGTTTTAGAGTATCTGAGGTCCTTCTAAGTGTAAAAAAGAGCTGGGACACTCACCCCTGTCTGGAACTGCTGTGTCAAGTTGAGTCTCTGCTGGACTTGTTTTTAGTCAAGGGAAGCCCCTGTAGTGGAGACTTGAGAATGCTTGAGAAGGTATTCTTTGATCTCTTTGTGGGAAATAGTAGAGGGAGAGTCCCAGTTCCATTTGAATCCCTGGAGTATTTCATGAGTAGATGGGATGGGGCCCTTGGAGAGATGTGAAAACTGACTGACGTATCCAAACAAAATGAAAAGAGTTTATATATGGGTGAGGAGTTGATAGAGATGCAGTAATTAAAAGATTTTAATTAATTAATTAATTAAAATGATTAAAAAGGAAAATAGACAAATGTCAATGAAATATAAAAAATATACACAGAAGAGAACAGAAAGAAGGAATTTCAGAAGGGATACAGATAAGCAGGGCAGTTTTGTTACTATTGTTTTAAATTTAATATACATTTAATAAACTGTGTATGATAGAAGTCCACAGTTTCATATGCATTCCCTTTTTCTTGCCCTTTGCCTACTCAAATGCCCATACTTGATGTTTGTCTACTTTATAATAAAAAATTAAAAAAATCTGAGTTAAAAAAATTCAATGCCTAGCACAATACCAGGCACCAATAAGGTGCTTAATAAACACTGATTGATTGATTAAAACAGATTCTGAGACGCTCCTAGAAACAGTGTGGGGTTTAGGAATATGAGTAGAGATTGGTTCCATGGCTAATATATGGTAGATTATAAACTCACTCCATTTTCAGGTTTTGCAGCATTTGGATTTTTTGTAAGATTGAGGCATGTAGACATGGTTCCCAGGGCATACAAATATTTCACTTGAAAGTCATGATGAACACATAACTATGACTTTGAGACTATATGTCAATGATTTCCTTATTTTCAACCTTACTTTTTTTTGTTGCCTTTTAGTTCCAAAGCTGACCTCCAAATCAGTGTACACATTCAAGATACCAGAAATACATTTTCCACTGGTGAGTCAGTGCGTTTATTCCTATTATGCTGATTTTATCAACCTTCTGAGCAAGGCGATCAATTTCCCACCATCTGATAACTCTGTGCTGCTAGCAAGGTATCTCTACCTTCGAGGACTCATTAATTTAATGCAAGGGAAACTCCTGGGTGCACTTTCAGATTTTCAGAGTCTGTACAGAACGGACATAAGTATTTTTCCTGCTGATCTTGTAAATAGAATGGTGGCGTCAATGTCGTCTTCTGAACGTTCCCAAGCTGAACGGCAGCCCGAGCTCAAAAGACTTATTAGTGAAATAATGGAAAAACCAAGAGAAGTCACCAAGGTAGATGATCATGTGAAAAATTTTGAGTTACCAAAGAAGCACATGCATCTGGATGATTTTGTGAAGAGAATTCAGGAATCAGGAATTGTGAAGGATATCAAAATAATCCACCGGTTGTTTGAAGCATTGACTGTAGGTAAGAGGAAAAATATATTATGGTTCTCTCGATGTAAACATCATATTGGTGGGGTGATACCTATTAAATTGCACCTGATTTACAGGTTATTCAGTAACATGTGTGCTGTCAGTTGGAATCACCAGCGCTGGGGAGACTAAAGAGATAATGTTGTATCTAGTAGCCTTGGTTCCTAAATCATAAATCCCAGGGTTAGGGAATAATAGAGGGGGAATTGTAAAGTGGGGTAGGGAAGGAAATCACCCCTGAGTGCCATTAGGGTTCCCCTGAAAGTAACCACTGTCTCATCGGGTGTTTCATGAACAGTTTTTGTAGTATTGAGGTATAATATGAAAGGGAAATATTAAATAATGTCAATTTTATTTGTTTTTCTATTGATGTAATCCTCTTAAAGGCAGTGTGTGCATATAGCATAACATGGACAGAAATATATAATATGTAATAATAATAATAATAGCTTATATTTACAAAGTACTTTTCAGTTCACAAAATATTTTCCTCACAATATGCTGGAACTCTTTTTTTATTTTGGATTAGCCTGCTGAGAAAGGAGTGACAAAATAAATTCTACTACTCTTCCCAGTAGTTCCCTGCCATTATTAGTTTGGGCATGGTTGACGTCAGTATTTTTTTGAGTACCTGACACAAGATTAGGATTGTGTGTTAGAAGCTACATATGTGCCTTGAGAGGTAGAAGGGGATGGGACAGGGTGATATAAGAGGCAGCATCACTTAGTGGATATGATGCTGGACTTGGACTCAAGAACACCTGAATTCAAAACCTGCCTCAGAAACTTACTGTCAGACCCTAGGTGGGTCACTCAACTTTTCTAAGCCTCAGTTTCCTCATCTGTCAGGTACAGATATTAATAGCATCTACCTCACAAGATTATGGTGAAGATCAAAGTAGATAATATATGTTAAACACTTTGCAAATCGTGAAGTGCTATAGAAATTCAGCTGTTAATCGTTCTTATAGGGCAGCTGAGTGGTGCAGTGAATAGAGAGCCAGGCCTGGAGTCAAGAAGACTCATCTTCCTGAGTTCAAATCTGGTGTCAGACACTTAGTAGCTGTGTGACCCTGGGCAAGTAGCTTAACCCTGTTTGCCTTAGTTCCCGAAACTGGAGAAGGAAATGGCAAACTACTCTAATACCTTTGCCAAGAAAACCCCTAATGGGATTGTGAAGAGTTGGGCACGACTGGGCAAAAACAGTGATTGTTTTTATTGTTGATTATTATGCTTACAAAAGAAGTATTTAAACCTAATTCCTGCCTTTGAGGATCTTATAGTCTCACTGGGAAAGCAGAGATACACAAAGCAGGGGAATGATAATGCAAGACGTTTGGACATAGCTGCCCAAAGAGTAGTAGAGCCAATAGTGAGTTCATTCATTCAGAAAAGAGAAAGGTCAGGGTGGATTAGGGTGAGGATGCTTCTGATTGATTGTAATGATACCACTCATCTTCCTATAAGGATGGGTTATATATCTAGTCACTTGGGTAGCTTAACACCATTAGCTAAATAGTTCTGTGGTCAGTGACATTTAAGTGCCATTTCTTCTTTATTTCCAATAGAAATTTTGACTTTCTTAGGCTGTATACATGTGGCTTGTATTAGGCAGGCTAGCCTTTTGAACATATGCTAACATTTTTCTGCCCTCACTTTCCCTCTACACTCTCTCTCGGTCTCTCTTTCTCTGTCTCTCTTTCTCTTTGTCTCTCTCTGTCTTTCTCTTTCTCCCTCCCCCACCCCTTTTCTCCCTCTCTCTGTGTCACAATAACCAGTTTTTACTCAAATTATAAACTTGAGATTTACTATCTCGGTCTCCTTATTGGGCCTTCTGTCTCTGACTACATCTCCTTTTGTGTTGGCTTCCTCTACCCTCACATGGCTGGATTTCTCTGGTCCTTTCATTCTAACCCAGGAATTACCTCCCTTACCTCCACCCAATACTTTAGCTGTAGACATGGAATTCATTAACGTGTTTTCATACCTTATGGGGACACATCTGAAATCAGGTTACGTTTTACATTTTTGTCATTATTTTACATAGTCCTACTGGATTATGACCTTAAGAGACCTCAGATGATGTAGCAGTCTGCATAAGGGGGAGGAAATTTTACATAGTCATATTGGATAATAACCACAAGGGGCAAATCTCAGATGAAATAGTAGTCTACATAAGAGGGGGGATATATCAGCTGTCTCTGCATATATCAGCTGTCAGCAGGGTTCCTGTGTTAATATTAATGCTCATTTATTTTGTGTGAAAGGTGTAGTGGTAAAGTTGCTGAATTTTATATCGAGAGTTTGAATCAGGGTTCAAATCATGGCTCTTGGATTTACTACTTGGGTGACCCTATGCTGGGTATTTAACCTCTCAAATCTTCAGTTTCCTCTTCTGTCAGTGAAGGAGTTAAAAGGCTAGATAGCCACTAAGGTTGATTGGTTCTAGGTAGTAATATTCTGGAGCCAACTCATACTGGCTGACCCAATTGTTAAATTTTTACTTTGAGCATATAAATCTGAAATCAGAAAAGGCTACAAATCTGGGCTTGATATATTGTTTTCTTGATTATCAAGACTTAAGAAAATGATGGAGAAGATGTTAATAATGCAGATTAAACTTAGAAATGTGTCATTTGTACATCCTTCCGCCTACCCCAAGCCAGTTGTTGACCATCCACCAGCACACCCCTAGTTCTAGCTCTCCTTCTCCAGTGTGGTCCTGAAATCTCTGTTCTTTGTTCTTGCTAAGCTGTAGAGTGTGTCTTCTGTGTAGAAGAGACTGCAGTGCCACCTTTTGGCCACCAGAAGGTAATGAATGAATGAAAAACTTCCACCAGACTAGAAGTAAAACACCTAAAAACTGAGCTGCAGATTATCCAGTTCTTGTTCATAAATCACCATTGCTTCTCATTTTCACCATTGAAATAAGCTTAGGCTGGGCTTCTACGTTTATCACACTTAGGCCAAAATGGACCTGATTATGGGCTACTTTCTGTAAGGAGGCAATTACTAATAGCTCACATTGATAGAGTCCTTTTACAAAGTCCTTTCCTTGGCTTAACCCTTCAAGATAAGTGGTAAAAATATTACTATTCGTATTTCACAGCTGTGGAAACTAACCTCAGAAAGGTTAAGTGATTTCCCCAAAGTCACACCCTGAGTAAATGTTGGAACTGAGTCTCAAATCCAAGTTTATGGACTGAAAGACCAGTGATCTTTCTCAAGCCATATTGCTTCAATTCTGGGGAGTCAAGAGAACCAGGTTCTCATCTTAGTTCTGAAGCTGACTAGCCAGTGACTATGAGCCAGTCCTTTCAGCTTTCTGGGGTTTCATTTTTCTCACTGATAAAAGGAAGAGATTGAACTACATGTACTCCAATGTCCTTTCCAACTTTCAGGGTTTATGATTCTGTGATTTTTTTTTTAATAGAAAATGAATGGTGGGGCAGCTAGGTGGCACAGTGGATAGAGCACCAGCCCTGAAGTCAGGAGGACCTGAGTTCAGATCCAACCTCAGACCAAACACTTGACACTTACTAGCTGTGTGACCCTGGGCAAGTCGCTTAACCCCAGTTGCCTAAAAAAATAAAGGAAAATGAATAATGGTGGTAGAGTTGTCTGAATAAAAGTGCATAAATAAATATAAAATAATTTTAAAAATATAATATATAAATAAAATATGTATGATATAATATAATAAAAATATAATAAATATAGTATTAATATAAATACATAAAATAATATAAAATAAATAAATAGAATTGTCTGAATAAAAGTGCGTATAAGTGTGTTGTGTAAGAGGTGATATGTCATAGTAGATTGAGTGATGCTCTTAGAGTCAGGAGGTCTGGATTTGAATTGCATCTCATATATTTTATAGCTACATGATTATTGGCAAGTCACTCAACCTTATTGAGCCTCAGTTTCCTCTTTTGTAAAATGAGGGTATTTCACTACCTGCCTCACAGAGCTGTTGAGAGGAAAGGGCTTTATAAACCATAAGGTACCATATGAACTTACGTACTTATTAAGGGAACGTGTGACTGACTGGGTTGCACTGGACAGAGGAGAGACTTGAGGCTATTACTGTAGTCCAGAAGAGAGAGGATAAAAGTGTGAGCTAGAGCACTGGCTGTGTGTGTGTGTGTGTGTGTGTGTGTGTGTGTGTGTGTGTGTGAAGAAAAGGGAAGATATATGAGACATAGTGTGAAAGAAGGAATAACAAGATTTGGCAATGGATTGGATATGTGAATGGATGAAAGTGAGGAATTCATGAGCATAACATGGATGAAGAACCTGCAAAGGAGACTGAGAAGGAAGCTATCATTGAGAAGAGAGAAACAAGGGAAAGCAGTGACACAAAATACAAAAACCTAGGGGAAAGAGAGGATCCAGGAGGAGAAGGTGATTTGTGGTGTCAAAGGCAGCAGAGATGTCAAGAAGAATGAAGCTTAGGAAGAGGCCCTTATATCAGGCAATTAATAGATCACTGGTATCTTTTGAGAGAGCAGTTTTGGTTGAATGATGAGGTTGGAAGCAAGAGTGCGCAGATTTTAGAAGAGAATGAGAAGACAGGAAGTGGGGGGAAGCAAGTGTAGATGACTTTCTTAAGGAATTTAGACAGGAGGGGGAGGAGAGATATAGGATGATAGCTGTGGTTGGATCAAGTGATTTTGGGGGCATGTTTGTAGGAGCAGGGAAGGAGTTAGGAGACAGAGAAAAATTATATATTAGAGAGAATGGGGATGGTAGTGAAGACAGTGGAGAAAAGACGGCAGTTGTTGATAAACTGGAAATCAGAAAAAGATGAGGGCTAAATTCATAGACATACCTACACACACATGTGGATATGTATCTTATATGTGATATTTATATAGAGATGATATTCGATCCCATAATAGTAGAAAAGAGAAGAGCACCGAGAACAAGGTTTGGGGGTATACAGTTGTTTAGGTGGAAGGAGAAAGAGAATGAACAAACAAAAGTGAA